GTCGATATTTATGGGTAGGATGAAAAATTGTTTTATCAAATTAAATTATCATTTTGACATAAGATGATTTAAACAAAATTAATCAATCTTTAAGATTCTAACTTAACATAAACTAAGAAAAATAATCATCATTATCTAATCGAGATAATTTTTGGCATCATAATTAATTAAGATTTGCTATTAAAGATTTTAAGGTTTTTATCCCTAATCAATAATTACACTTTGGTCAATTTAGTATAAGGAATATTAATTTACTTTCTTTTTAAGTTTCAATTGTCTAAAATTTAGAAACGCTAAAATTTTATGATGCAAATTAAAAATCACAGGACTTTTATTTCTAAGAGATTAATCATTTCTATTCCTTTTTCAAAATTAGTCCTAACTATTTGAGTATTCTTTCATTTATATTATTGGTGAGAAGACTATGAACAAATAGTTATTTTAATTGTTTAACTTACTATAATTTATCAGCAAATCTATACAACTAATTGTTGTTAATCAAAATTTCGGCATAAGTTTCAATTTGCATGTCATTTTTAGTAAGATTTAAGCTCCCCTTCATAATATTAATTGAAAAGTTAAATATATTAAACATAACCTGATAGTTAAGATAAATCAATGACACACCAAATTAATCTTAGAGTTCATAGATATTATAAATAATGTATCTTTAACCTATAAATTAAATAATAAAATTCAATTCTTGGATGGAGGTAATATTTATGATATCATTTTATTTACAGAACATAATATAAATACTAAAATGATGTCAATTTAAAAATGCTAAAATCTATAGATGATACTTGAACATCTCTATTAATGTTAAATTTATAGATGACTCTTATACCATCTCTATTAATGTTAATTTTAAGTTTAAAAAAATAGGAACCTTTAATAATATATGTAGAATAAGAATTGACATAGTCAGTTGGATTAATTATGTTTGTTCTTTTAGGATTTAGCTTTTGGTATCACAGTTTAATATAATTCATAGGTTGAAATCCTTTATTTTTTGACTAATCATATAATTATAATTCATCATCTATTGATTGTTGTGGTTGTAAGTTCTTTCCCAAAACAGACTTTGAGATTGATTTAATTGTTAGTATTATACCATAGATTGGATACATCTACTAATGTTTAAGGTATCTATAATATAATTAAAATTTAGAATTACAATTTTAAATACTTTATAATTCTAATCATCAATTAGATTATTATCTATGATGTCTTACTTAAGTTCGTTGTTCATTATGTGATTATTATGATTATTTTCACTTTTTATGGAATTAGGTTCGACTTCAAGAGATTTTAATCTGATTCCAATTTCATGACAGTTCTTGAGAATTTCTTTATCACTAATTGCCCTTATAATGAATTGTAATCTAGATATTTTATATAGAGTATTGGTTAAACATAATTTTACAGAGGCAATTCTCAATAATTTTTCATAAGTTTATAAGAATGAAATTCCTACACTTCGTTTTTGATATCGAAAATTGATTACTTTGCCAAAGAAATTCTTTTCAAAAGTATGAAGTGAATACTTAAAATTGTGGAAATTATTGATTTTCCTAGTTCAACTTTATAATATATTCAATAATTGGATTTAGATTACTTTACTCCCACTTTCAAAAAGAAGTATATGTTGTATTTGAATTTGAATTGAGAACCTTGTAATAAACTGTGGTAATTGAATATCCAAAAATATCTGAAGTGTTAGCAAGTATTGGATCCATAATTTCCTTTTTTTTATTCTTTTCTAATTTTGCTTATATATAATTGAAAAAATCCTCCTAAGATGTTCTAAATTGAACTTCTCCATAAGCAGAGTGATTAATAAATTTATGATATTATTATAATTAGCAAGATATTGCACAGCTTCCAAAAATTTAATTCGGCCTGACTTTGTTGGGCTTTACTACTTTCTACCCTCGGTATATAGAAATTTTTATTTAAGAATTTATCCGTCCTAAATATAAGTTATTTGTTTTTCTTTTGTAATTTTTACTTGAAATGTTGTGTGAACCACCTATTATTAACCATCATTATGACAAGGATAATGATCCAATAACATCAATTAATAAATAGTTTTCGAATAATCAATTTTAGTTCTATAATTTTAAATATCTAAATTAATTGTACTATTTTTTTGATAAAACATCTTCTTACTTTTGTATTATGTGAGTATTTAACAAATAAAAGAGATTTTTTTAAATTTTAATTTAAATGATTCTATTCCATTATTATTAATTTTAATATTTTATATTTCTAAATACCCTAAGAATATAGAATTTGAGATTTACAATTTATTTAAAGCTTAAGTATTGCAAAACTAACTGGGTTTTTAGTTAGCATATTGTTTGAAAAATTACAAATAAATATGTTCAATTAGTTCAGTTATAAATTCTTCATTTCTTTGTATAATAAATAGTCAACTATGTCTTTAATGACTAAAATTAATTTACTTTAATACTAAAAACTTCAATATATCTTAAGATGAAAATACAATTAAGAAAATAAATCAATATTCCCCTTTAAAGTAATATTTTTCCCTCAAATAACACATTTTTTGAGTATTTCATGATGAAAAACTTTTTTTACTGATATTGTCGTAATTCTAATTGTTTAAGTTTGGGTATCCCATATATGCATTCCACAAAAATACTAAGCATCTTTGTATTAAAAAGTAACTATTTTAGTCTTTATTGTAGATTATTTATTATTATTATTAATGAAGTATATTCTTTGGTTATTGTTGAAGATTGATAATCCGAAAAATCGAAATATATTAGATTCTAATTTTGAGTTCTCTATCTATATCTTGTAATGAGTGAGTAGCTTGCTTGAAGTAATAAATTGTCTCCAGTAACTTTTAATATTATTTATTTTTTTTATTATTTTGTCATATTAAAGTATCATATAAGCATTTAACTTTTTTCTCAAATAAGCATTCCAAATGTTAAGACTATTTATCAAACACAGAAATCTATTCTTTAAGCAAAGATGATATCAGTTTGAAAAAGGATTCTAAATATGTTTAAAACTAAATGATATTGTTAAATTAAAAATGAATTTTTGTTGGTTTTGATGAAAATATAAGCAAACCAATTAAAATTTGTTTATTTATAATATACTTGTGGAAAGTAATCCTTGAAACATTAGATTTCTTTAGCAACAGAACAATTCAGAGGTAATTCAACACATTAAATTAATCCTGGTTTAAGAGTGCATATTTTATTTTTATTTAGTTTTTGCTTTCTTCAGTGAAAAATAAAAGAAGTAGGAATCAATTATAGGATTTGTATATATTTTTATTTATTGTTTTTATAGAAAGAAAAACTTAAATCTTGTATTAATTAATGATCCTAATTATAAATTATTTTTAAATATGAATTTATTTAGCTATTCAACTAGTTTAGCTTATATATTATTC